CGCTGTGTAGCGAGCAGCCTGGAGGATGGATCTGACTGGAAAACAGGAAAAAATGAGGGGTTTTTTGTCTGAAGTTTCTCATTTGAGTTTAGCGTAGCAATGGTACGGGAATGCGGTCGGTGTCAGGGGTGCAGGTCTGATGATGTAGCTTCAATTTATCGTGGGAGTATGTATTGGGGATTATACTTTATTCTTTCATCTGTTTCTAGAACTAATGATATAATAAAATTATTAATGCAGAACTAATTAGATTGACATAAAAAGCCTTCCTTTTATAAATAGGATTGGTTTTAATCGCAGTAGTCAGTAATTGTCATCACTTGTTTTACAGCCCCAAATACGCTGAAAAGCATGTTTCATCTAAAGTGCTAGATTCTGACTTCTTGTACTTGAACACCGAAGTAGTTTTATAATGCAGTATTGCTTTAAAACTTTCTAGCAAAGCTTTACTAGAACTTGGGATCTTTCAGAAGAGAGGTTAATGAAAAGAAAAGGTCCAGGTAGACGTGCAACATCTTTATTGTTTCTGTTTTAACAAAACACTGGAATTGAATGATGCTACTCATGACAGTAGAGTTAAAAGAATGATGAGACAAATGCAGAGGCTGAATTTCAAATTGCTCTAAATTTAAAATGACTTGATAATCATAAAATATATTTTTTCTTTATAGCTATTCCTCTTGACTTCGATATCAGTTCACCTCTGACTTACGGCACACCCAGCTCCAGGGTAGAAGGTACTCCACGAAGTGGTGTACGCGGAACTCCGGTCAGGCAGAGGCCGGATCTCGGGTCTGTCCGTAAAGCCAGACAAGTCGATTTACACTCGGATGGGGTAGGTAGATGTCTCTGATTTTGTATTTGACAACTTCTTTTTTTAAACAACTGTGCATATTTATGTATGCTTATTTTGTTTCCGCGCAGTCGACTGAGGATGTAGTAGCAACCGAGCAATCTCTTGGACAAAAGCTTGTTATTTGGGGAACAGATGTTAACGTAGCCTCCTGCAAAGAAAAATTCCAGGTAGGTTAACAACTTCTTTTTTTGTTGTTTTTTAAATGAAAAGCTAGTTTTATTTAAACAAATATTAGTTGAATCCAATACAAAGTAGGTGTATGTACAACTAAATTCTGTTCATCTTTCCCTTCTGTCTTTCTCTTACCTCTGACGTTCAGAGATTTCTTCAGCGTTTCATTGATCCGCTAGCTAAAGAGGATGAAGACATTGGCTTGGATCTTAATGAGCCACGCTATATGCAACGGCTTGAAGAGGTACTTGTAACACAGCGAAACTCAACTTTTCTTTTTTAATCTTGCATGCCCTCGAGCTGAAGATTTCTTTTCAAATATCTTGCAGATTAATATGATTGGGGAACCATTCCTGAATGTAAATTGTGACCATCTAAGATCATTTGATGAAAATCTTTACAGGCAACTGATCTGCTATCCTCAGGTGAGGTAGTGCACTTGTTTTCTGGCTTTCAAGTGGCCCTTTCGTATTTCTGGCTTTTAATATGTTTGTTTAAATGCAGTGTGTGCTTTGTATGTTCAGTGTAATCTCTGTGGCTTCCTTATTTTACTTACCATGAAATAAGACATTTTATATTAGTTAAAACTTGATTATATATACTATAGTGCATACCTCATAAATGCAAAATGAGCTGGTAAACTGCAATGTCCAGAGTCTTGAACTTCTTTTTTCTTTTTTTTTTCTCCCTTTGCAACATTTCAATGAATAAACCTGATCTAAACAGCAAGTTTTCTGTTATGTAAGAAAATGCTCAGCTGGCATAACTTTCAGTCATTCCTGGCTGATGAGCAGCACGTAAAATGCTTCATCCAAAAATACTTTGTTGTATGATTTATTGGGTTTTTTTTGTTTTTTAAACTTTGTAAGCTGAACTGTTTCTAAAAATTTTATACAGGAAGTTATCCCAACATTTGACATGGCTGCCAATGAGATCTTTTTTGATCGTTACCCTGATTCAATATTAGAACATCAGATTCAAGTGAGGCCATATAATGCACTGAAGACTAGGAATATGAGAAGTTTAAACCCTGAAGGTAAACTTTAGATTACCATGTTAGAAAAGAATCTAAAGGATTTATGTGAATTTATTCAATGTTAACAGAGAATTACAAGAAGACTGTATACAACTGTACTTGTGGTCTATCCAGACCATTGTCTTTCGTTTATAAGTCTGTTTCAGAAGCAAATGCTTTACAGCCCAAAGTTTAGAGCAGAATAATTATCTGTAAAGGAAGTCTTTCCTGGCATTAGCTACTGATGTTCATAGTTCTGCAAGCACAAAGGATTCTTTCTTTTGTATAAATACAGTAAATTAGAATATTTGTACTACACATTTATGATTCTTTTTGCTTTGTCTTAAACAAAATACTAGCACCTAACCAAATGTCTACCTCCCACTTAAAAACTAAGCTAACATGAACTTTGAAGGTTATTTTAAATTTTAAGAATACAAAGTGATGACATGAGCCTCTATGTTTTGTAGATATCGACCAACTTATCACCATCAGCGGTATGGTCATCAGAAGCTCCCAGTTAATTCCTGAGATGCAAGAAGCATTCTTTAAATGCCAGGTTTGCGCTTTCACCACCAGAGTAGAAATCGATCGTGGCAGGATTGCTGAGCCATCAGTATGCAAGAACTGTAACACAACACACAGCATGGCACTGATTCACAATCGATCCATGTTCTCTGACAAACAGATGGTAGGTTGTGCTGAGCTGGTGGCTAAAATGAAACAGTTTCTAGTTTTTGCTCCCCCACCTCCTCCCCAGTATCATCAATAGCATTAAAGTATCTTGAGACTGAATGTTTGGAAAGGGGAAAAGTGTTTCGGAACATGAAAATGGGTGAAACAACTTAGCAAAAGGGTAAATCCATACTTCAGAGAAGAAATGCATTAAAAGGATGAAGTATGTATGCATTTTAATGTTTCCATATGGAAGCCCCTTTATATAGTGTGTCCACTTGTATCTGGACTATGAGCCTTGTCTGTAACAGCATTTTAGCCGTACCATTAGCAACCAGCAGAATTCTCATTTTCACCATATCTTTTTATTAGCAATCAGTTTTGCTGTTTGGGTGGAGGTATTTTGTTCTTGAGCAGTGTTCTCGATTCAAAATGATGCTGAAGACTGTGCTAACACAAGATGTTGTATGCTCTGTGGAAAAGCTTTGCTTTTTTTGAAACTAAAACTTTAAGGTGTTTTTTGCTAGATCAAACTGCAGGAATCTCCTGAAGATATGCCAGCTGGACAGACGCCTCATACGGTTGCGCTATTTGCTCACAATGACCTTGTTGATAAAGTTCAGCCAGGTGACAGAGTTAATGTCACAGGTAAAATTTGGTTTGAGTATTTGCATTTGTCTTTTTCACTGATCTTAATTGTCTATAAACGGACCTGTTGGGATGCACCAACAAGTGCTGAGGGAGCTG